CGTCCCGCCCCGCCCCGCCCCGCCCGCGGCACGGCCGCCGGCGGCCTCCTGTCGCGGATGGAGAGAGATTGCCATTGCACTTTCCCTATCGCACTCGCCCGTTATTGGCTCAAGCGTAATGCGATGGCGCTCTTTACGATCGGCTCGGCGACAATTAAAACAGCGTCTTACCTGTGGGCTGGGCGGCGGCCGGTCTGGCCAGGGCGGCTATGCACAGCAGCGACCCCAGGGCGCCTATCGGCACGTCCTGGAACAAGACAGGCAAAAGCGTGTTCAACTTCGGAAAAAGGTGCTTTTATTTGTTCAGTGCGGGAAGTGAATACCCCGTAACTCATCTCACAATATTCCGTTCGGGCATTCCGTTTGGCTGGCCCTGCCGTCGGACAAACTTGAGCAAAGAGTGAGAATCAACAATAAAATAGTAATATCGCACGTCCGGACGATTTAGATGGCGCTCTACAAGGCGCAGGCAGACATTCCATCCGAAAGAAAAGAGGAAGAAAAATAACGCGGTCCCGAGCCGGCGTGTTGTGATCAACTCGAGCCAACAACATAACCTCGAACTTATTCCTTGAAATAATCACTGATCAACATTTAAAACTGTCGTTCAACCTACTGTGAGTTTCTCTATTGCTCGTGCTGGACGTGTTGGAGACGTTTTCGACGGCCCATCATTGCATCTTATTCGAGGTACGAAGAACAGACAAAGTAAATGTCCAGTAGCAATTTTTGTGGTTGTGAAGCAGTTCATGAACTTTAACTTCATTTTAAAAACTTCAATCATGCGTTCCTCGACTAAAGTACGGTATATGTTTATGATCATGACACTCCTTTTTGTTTTTGTTGCAGATGGATTTGAAGTGTGATATTTGTTTCCTCAATTTTGATGTGGACTCCCATCGTCCTAAATGCTTACCCTGTGGACATACCATCTGTAAGGAATGTGTTGAAAATCCTGCCATGAGAAGGAAGTGCCCAACTTGCAGGAAGGTAAGTATGTTCAAAATATACTTTGGCTTGTTATCCATAATTTTATTTTATTGGATTCAACATTTAAGACTTGTACAAAAAGTTATTTGTTTGAGTGGGTAATTTTTAGTTGGCAACAACCCAAATAGAAGTAATACAAAAAACCCAAGAACAGTAATATTCTCAAATTGGCTACAGATAAAAGGTTGAAAAGAAGAAAACCTGGGGGCAAGGTTGATTTATGGTTAGCCCACCTATATGTGGTTTTTGGCAAACAAATCCATGCTATTTTAACGTTCAAACGGCAGAGACCAAAAGCGGATGCATCATCTAGAATGTTTCAGAATTTTTTTTCAGCAGATTTGCATGTCTTTTTGCGGAAATATAGTAGGGTTAAGTTACTGGTTCCTAACGGGATTCCGATCTTCTTGTACCCGAGCCGAGAGCAAATTGGGTCTATGCCCACTGCCAGCACCTGCTTTGGTTTTTCTGGAAAACCATACTTTGTTTAAAACCATCAAAGAATCTGGAATAAAATGTAACTTTTGCAGTTCTGCCATAAACAAGTTATTTGTTTTTTCTTGCCTGGTTCAGGCATTTAAACAACACCGCCCTGAGGACCTACCCGACAACGTCCTAGCAGTCCGATTGCTGGAAAACGAGGCTGCACCACCCTGCAAGAAGCCTAAGACCGAGGACCCAGAGCTTGAGCAGCTTCAACGGGGCGCGGACGCGGGGCAGAAGGTGGTGGAGATGCTGCGGCTGGTGGTGCCTCAAGCGGTCGAGTCGCTCAACCGTCATCTGGAGTCGTCGGTCGCCCAGCTCGGCCAAGTGAAGCAGGCCCTGCAGAGGAGGGTGCAGCGGGAGGCGGCCGGCGATGTGGGCACCACGTCGGACGCCGTGGAGGAGCCGCTGCAGCTGGCCGAGCAGCTGGAGGCCAGCCACCGCCTGCTCACCTCCACCAAGTGCACCGTCGCTGCCGAAGAGGAGGGTGGCTCCGCCTGGACGGCCTCTGTGCAGCCCGGCGGGTGCGGCGACATCCTGCGCGTCCTGCTGCTGCAGCTGCGGGCGGACGGCCAGCTGGGAAAGGTGAGTCATCAGGCAGGTGGACAGCTGTTGGTATTGACTGTTGGCGAGATGCTCACCCGCTCTGTCCCCCACCAGATTGGCCACGGCGACCACGGCGGCATCACAGTTCCTGCCACCCCTGCTGCGGCTTACGTGGGTCCGCCGTTGTTTTCCATCCTCGGGATAGACGACAAACTTCTCGACCAGGGTCGTTTAAAGGTAGACGATATTATTCGAAACACCCGGCAGAGTTGGATCATCCCTCGCAGCCTGCAGAATTTGAGGGGTGGCGGCTCCGCGCACCTGCTGCGTGTCATGGGGGCACACCTCGAGGAGCTGCACATTGCGGGTCTATCTGAGCCCAGCGTCATGATGGAGGTAGAGAAATTGTCGTCACTCAAACGACTGCGGGTACAATGCGCTCCGAATGTGGTCTACCCGGACCTGCCGTTGCAGCTGGAAGAACTCGAAATAAGTCAAATATCTGAGAACCAGCTGCGTTGTGTTCAGCGTATGGACAGGCTTCGAAACTTGCAGTTATTCAACTACGTAGGCCCAAATCTGACCTTCCCTCCCGCGCAGCATGGCAGGCTGCTGTGGCTGTCTATGGTCTTTAGAACTCAACAAAAGCCCACCATGTTGTCTCTTATCAGCGCCCATGCCTCATCACTGCAGGAGCTAATGATTGCCTGCTCTTTATCCGCCGATCCTGAATACGCAGACGTGTCGTTCCCCGACCTGGGCCAGGAGCTGGCGGCGTGCCGCATGCCTGCCCTACGCCGTCTGGTCCTTCTTCGCCCTACGTCACCCAAAAATGAATGCATAGGCCGTGTCGCTGAATGTGTTCTGCAGCGACGGACCATTCGTGGCTTATTGGGTCCATCCGTTGAGGTGCTTTGCAGGATGTGCAGCATACCGGAGTTGTAGGTTTAGGCAGCAATATGAGACATTTATACTACAGTAGAATCACATGCCAATTGAGCCCAATCAAACCTCTCTGAAAACAGGACTGTCTTAGGCCCAGAATTTGTAGAATGTTCAGAAAGACTTTTATTTGTATTTTGTTGTTAAGCTGACTGTACTGTTAAATTTGCAAAACTTGTACTGTTAAACAAGCAAAAATAAATACCACATTCGTCTGCATTTTAAGACGCTTTGAGTTTACACTATCGTCTGTTTTTGGCAGGGAGCAAGAATTCTCGAAACCTGTTGGTTTGCGGGGGAAAAGGGGGGGGGGGGCAGAGTGTCGAGCAGCGTCAAGGGTCGCGGTGTGGAACGGATAGGCCACTAGCACCGACAGCAGAACGCGGCGGGCTGACCGTGCAGGGAGCGAAAGAGTGCCAGACAGGACGGCAGGCCGGCGGGGTCGACAGTTCGAGATGAAGTGACCCGCCCAGATTAGTTATCGTCCAGAAAGTACGTCGGCTTTTCTCAGATTCGTTCGGCAAATTACAGGAGAGGAGCACAGCGCCTGCGAAACTCCGGGTCGGCCACCCAGCAGTACACGCGTGCGCCGCAGGCAGAATGTTGCCTACCGATCAGGCGCTATGGGAACTGAGCTGAACTGAGCAGTTTAGGGCCGGCGAATGGCGGACGTACTTCATGGATGCCCCCTTACGGAAGCAATTTTCTGAGCAACGCCGATACACTTTTCTCGCCGACGACAACGCTCGCGCGGGTCGACACGACAGCCTCCGTGCTCTGCTGCCGGCGGTGAGGCGGTGGCTGCAATATGTCATGCCGGGTGAGGACAACTTTAGGAGGGCGCGTCGGTAAAAACTTGAGCAAAGAATGAGACGGCATTCCGCGAGCGCTGAGCTGCGCTGAGCAGCAGCGCGCAGGGGGCCGCGAGGCGCACGCCTTCGAAAGACGGCGGCGTGCTGCTCTGCCGTCACTGTCGCACCCGCGCGGGTGGATGGAAGGCTTGCGAGAGCAGAAGAAACCGTCGCGTCGGGAGGTGTCGCGTCCGCTTGTCGACTGCTATCAATGCGAATCGCAATGTGAATGCTCGGCATCCTCCGACGGCGTGGACCATACCCTCTGCTAGGAGTGCAGCCGCAGAGGGGGCACACAGAGCTATGAGTCCTTCTCCATGAGCCGGGAGTGGGAACCGGTGGGGGG